CTGCAGCCTGGCTGCTGGAAGTCCTTATCAGCCTGCAGGGCCTCAAGGCGCATACCTGTGGCCTCACCTGCATAGCAGCCCACCTGAGCCCCTGCAGGACGCTGATGCATACTGGACTTTGTGCAGAAAAACACACTCAACCCCTCTGCCATGTCCATAAAGAAAAGGATATTTATTCCTCACTTCCCGGGGTGAAAAGTGCCCCGGTGGCACGGGAGATTAAGCTTCAGGCTGCGAGCCAAAGATGGGCAGGTGGAATCCACAAGCCGCTGTACAGGCGGCAGATGTGGAAGTTTTCTCCTGTAAAGACGGCAGCCTGGGAAAGCCAGGGGAGGGGGGCAGTTCCGCTCTGTCTCACAGGGTCCCTGTAAGTCGGGATGGACCGGGCAGCTGTGAGCCTGTGTTTCCCAGAGTGAGAAAAATAGGACCAGAGAGGCTACAATCACACAGCCAGGAAACAGGCCACCAGGATTACACCAGGGCACAGACCGTGCCTTTCCGACCAGCGGGCATGGGAGGAGGCATTTGGGGAGGGCATGACTTCAGTCACAGCTAACACCACAGGGACAACATATCTCTGATCCACAGTGGTGTGATTTAATGACATCCTGCAGTTCAGTCTCCTGGTAGGGGCCGGTGACCCTGCCTCACTGTGGAGGGGTCTGGAGGTGCTGCAGGCCAGGGGTCTCTGGCATCTCTCTCTTCCCCCTCCTCCCTGACCTGTAAGGTAACAGAATCTGGGCTTTGCTAAGGGGTGACCCCATACTGGCTGAATAGAGTGCTTTGCAGAAGTCGTTTGCCTGCTTAACCTTTACAGCACTCACTGAAATGGAGGAAAAGGATTTTGTCCATTTCACAGATGAGGAAATGGAGGCCTCAAGAGGCAACCTCACCATCCAAGGTCAAATCTAGGCCCTAGACCTACGTGTTAACCTCTCTGTGTTACTGAGGGCTGCCAGGAACTTGATTTTGAGAGGAGAGGGGCCATTACCAAGTCCGCCCTGGCACCCCCACCTCCCAGATGCCAGGAAGGGCAGGCCCAGTCCCTGGAGCTGTCACGATTATCTCTAGATGCAGATTTGTGGAAGCCTCGCTTCCATCACCCCAGAACCACACCAGGAGGGTTTCTGGTGGCCTGTGACTACAGACCACCACGGCTTCCCCCGGGAGTGTCTGGTGGGTTTGGACTGACGGCCTCTTGATTAGCAACTGGCCAAGCACATTACCACTGAGCCAATCAGGGCTCCTGGGCTTCCGCGAGCAGGTCAGCCCAACCACACTCAAGGTGTCAGGGTTCATTGTGAGAGAGTTCCATGTTCTCCTGGTACAGGAAACAAACTGAGCAAGTCATAAAAGTCTGACTATAAAAGCTGGTTCACTTTTTCAGTTAATAAAACATCAAGCTGTCTGGGAAAAATCAGGAAGGTGCTGGGTGTGGAATTCCAGGTAACTGGTTTTCCTTCCGCTTTTCTGGGCTTTGAGTTTTCCCGTAAGGTGCACGTATTCATGGGAGGTGGAAACATCTACACACTCCCAAGCAGCCTGCAACGACCGGCCTGAGAGACCTCTTCTGCCCCAGATGGTCCCCAGCACCGTGGACCCTCACCTGCGCGGAGGACGCTGCAGTGGCAACTTCAACCACCAGGTGGCGACCGCGGTCTGTCTTTGCAACACACCTGGGAGGGTCTTAGCAGAGGGGCTGGGGCAGGGGATCCAGCCTCTACCTGCGGGCAGTCTGGGCTCAGCCAAGGTCCCCAAGGTCCTCTCCAGGACTGAGACTTTGTATTTAAGGGTCTCCTTCACCTTTGACCCCATCTCTGTGGCTATCCAGACTCCAACTTAAGTATGGCCTCTGCTCGCCTGTCCCCTTGTCCTGACAGTGTCCCAAAGGTGACCTTTGGGTGCCCTTGAGTTCAGTCTTCATAGACCACCAAGATCTGTCTTCCCTGAGTCCCTCGTTCCGGTTGGGGTCCTGTCCCTGCCCCTCTGGGTTATTGCCAGCCTCTCTTTACACTGACATGGTAACAAATTCCCAAAGCCTCATGTGTCTGCACATTCAGATTCCCAGGCCTGGCCTGGCCAGATTTCCACCCAGGAGGCTGCATTTCACGGGAGCCTCAGAGGAGCCCCTTCCATGCTGGGCCAGTCTTCCTCTGACCAGCGGACATTCCCGGAGCAAGGGCTTCTTCTGGTGCCACCTGCTGGCCCCTGCCCACTCTGGGAGTCCACTCGTCCTTCCACCCCAGGGCTCCTGTGCTCCCTCCACTGCCCACTCGTCCCCTCTGGCTCTGGTCCCAGGCAAACGTCCCCTCCCTGTCACGGCCCATGTTTCATTTCCTTGTTCCTTCAATGACTGTCTCTCTCCCGACCCTAAACTAACACCGTCAGTTCCACCAGGGCTGTAAACCTACAGAGAAGGAGATTTCCAGAAAACAGCACCCAGGCCAGCTTAGAGTCGCACCTCTGTCCAAATGTCTGCTCCTTGGCGTCTAGGGCACTTTACCTGAGGAAAACCCCCAAACCCTACAGCTGTAGAGTGGACTCCACACTCCCCACTGGGTTTCTGAATCCATAGTTCTCTATGGGAGGAGATGTCTTTCCTCAGACTTGCTGGTAGATTTGAACTGTTCACCTTTTGGTTGGCAGCACAATGCTTTTGTTCACTGCAGCCCCGGGGCTCCTACAAGGACAGTGTAACTCATTCATAGACTCAGCGTGTGATGGCATTGCATCAAGGGGACATCTGCTCCTGAGTTGCCCCTGAATGAGGCTGGTCTGCGATGGGCTCCCAGCCATTCTCCAGCCCTTCCCCTCTGCAGTGAGTGGAGCGAGATAACACAGCCTTCCTGGAACCACAGAGACTCTCAAAGACGAGCGTTTTCACTTTCCAAATGACCCCTCCTGGATGGGGAGGCTTGATGGAAACTGCTCAGTGGTGCTCCCTTCAGGTGGCGCCCCTGGCATTGGCCATCCTTGCTGCTAAGGACTGAATTGCTCTTGTTGTTGTTGCGTACCATCGAGTCGGAACCAGCCCATAGCTGACCCTCCAGCAGGTTTTTAGAGTCAGCAAATAAAATAGGAGGTTGCCCATCTTTCTGCGAAGCAGCTGGTGGATTTGAACCACATACCTTTAGGATTGCAATGCAGATTCTTATCACTAAGCCACCAGAGCTCCTACAAATCTGTGTCACTGATACAAGGCCATGATTCTCAACGTCACACTCATTGCAGTGCAGTCCGAGCTGCTCGGAGCTGACTCGCTAGCAGATTTTCAAAGGCTGTAAATCTCACAGGAGCACACGGCCTTTCTCTCTCCCTCAAAGCCGCTGGTGGAATCAAACCACCAGAGGGGTGTCACCTTTCGGTTAACGTGCAACTCCCTCCCGACTGCGTCACCAGTGCTTCCTTAATTGCTGTTAACAAGGTGAGATTAAACGGTAGTTACGTCAGTGAGGCAGGAGACGATCGCTAGGATTAAACTGCATTTTCAGTCAATTCCTGTTATGATTTAAGGGATTAAATAAAAGAGCAGAGATCAGAAGGGCTTCCCACCACCAAGGAAAAAAAACCTGGATGTGGAGCAAATCCTTTGGAGCAGGGGTCCCTGCACTGAGAACATCCTAGACTCAGGGGAAGGATTGATGATGAAACCTTCCCCCAGAGCTGACACAGACAGAAAGCCTTCCCCTGAAACCAGAGCCCTGAATTCGGGCTTGTAGCCTCCTAACCAGTGAGAGAATAACTTGTTTGTTAAAGCTCCGCCCCCCCGCCTTGTGTTCTTCTGTTGTAACACACTGAGTACCTAAGTCACCTGCCATAGTGTGGGTACATCACTCAGCTTCTCCGCTGCTACTTCAGCCCTAAAACAAGCACAACAGCTGCTGTGACTGGGCAACCCCGTGCGTGTCAGTGTCGAACGGTACAGTTTTCAGAAGGAGACTGCCAGGCCTTTCCTCTGAGTTACCTCTGGGTCAGCTTGAACCCCAGTAGCCAAGCTTGTGGACTGTGTACCCCTGGGGGCACCTGGCTCACAACGGAGCATCAGTACATACCCGGAATGAATGAATGAATGAAGAAGTGATCCACCTCTCGGTTACACTGACTCCTGTCGGGGCTGGAGACCAGGGCTAACCTGTTCTTCGAGGCTGTTCTGAAATCAGCCTGCTGTGTCTTCTCTCCTTTACATACTGAGTTCCTCATGACTCCATTCTGGGACCACCACCACAGCCTGCCTTTTTTGGGGTGCATATTCCTGCCCCCTACGCCCCATCCCCGGGATCCCCTCCCTCTCGCCTGAGCTCACAGATCTCACTGCTGAAACTCCACCCCACTTCCACCTTCTTCTCACCCTTTGAGTGAATCCTCAATCCTAAAAGCTCCCACACGCTCTGTCTGGGTCCGGGCTTGGCTGGTGCCTCTCAGGCCCTATGGACATCTGCTAACCAGCTGAGTAAAGACCCCAATTCCAGGGGCCCTGCTCCCAAGGCACTGCCCCAACGAGCCCAGGTATGGCCCAGCAACGAGCATTCAGCGGCCATCGCTAGCCTGGCCTTGGTGACTCACTGAGCCCTGGGCCAGCTCAGAGCAGACAGCCAGGTAAACCCAGGCTTCTGTTCCTCTGTCCCTTCCTTCCACTTGGTCCTGAGGGCAGGAGCTTGCATCAAACTTCACCCCCTTCTCTGTGTGCCTTCTGCTGGGTCACACTTTGTCTGCATCTGCTCTGTCTGTCTGGACCCCGGAGGCTGTCACTGGACGTGTCAGAGCTCGTCCTGAACAGGCCTGGTGGCCGCCCTGTGGTCACCTCCCACTGGTCAGTCAGCGGTAGGAGTGTCTCACTCTGTGCCTGCCTGCAGGGTGGCTCTCTGTGCCTCAGTTTCCTTGTCTGTAAGAGGGCCCCGTTGTTGCCCTTCGGACCACAGCAGCAGCTTTGGTCTTCCGTAAGACAGCGACCGACCCTCGTGCCTGGAACCTGGGATGACCTCGCTGCCCCTTGGTCTCAGGGATCCCGAGGTCTCCACGCCCACCCCCAGGTGGCAACAGATGCTTCCTGGAGGACATCCAGAGTGGACACTGGACCATGGCTGGTGTTTACCAGGACAAGGCCAGGGTCTGAGGGCTGACGCAGATGCTATGTCCTCACCAGGTGGCAGGTTAAGCATTGACTTTTCTGACTGACTCTGGCTGGGCACCAGGGACAGCTGATGGAGCCATGAGCACAAAGAACCCTACCCTAAGGCTTGGGGAGGAGGGACCATGGCCCGTGTCCTGCTGGTCCCCTGCTGACATTCACCAACACTCAGACCCAACACTTTCCTGACCTTCAAACTCCAAACCTCAGCCCTGCCCCATCCCCACATATAGCAGGCTGCCCCCCACCCCCCGACCCTTGCCGCCTGGTCCCCATTGGCAAGGGGCCAGGCCTCCCTGGGGCTCTACACAAGGTCCTCAGAGATCACAAACCAGCCACCTGAACCCCAACTCCCCACCACAGGTGGTTCCAGAAATGCACCTCCGGGGCTGTCACACTTTCATCTCAACTTTAAGGGGTTCCCCAGCACCTGCACGATTAGGCCTATCCCCTGCCACCGCTGTCAGCCCTGCCCCCTGCCCCAGCTCAGTGCTCAGACATGGCTGTGTCCTTCCTGTCAAACGTCTTGGCTCCATCCTTGCCTCTGAGACTCTCCGTATGGTGCTGTTCCCTCTCCGTGGGACCTTTTCCCACCTCATCTGTGTCCCTGGCTTCTCACCTCATGGCCTTTGCTCAGGTGTCCCACCTTCTGGGGTGACAGAGGCCGGTGAGAAGGCTGTAGAGAAGAGTGGAGCCCTGACCGTGATGCCACATCAGTGCGTCTAACTCCAGCCTAGCTCGGCCTCTGTCCCACCTGGTGTCCCGGTCCTGTCCCACTCCTGGGTGTCCCTGGGGATCTGTGTGTCCTCGGGATTCTTCCAGCCACTCCAAGGGCAAGTGGCCATTGGACTAAGGTATCAGAGGCAGAACACATCTGTCCACTTGTCCACCCCATCCAGGGAGTCCTTGCAGAGACTCGTCCACGGGCTCAGGGCCAGAGACTATAGGATCCCTGACCTCTGAAGGCATCTGAGGCACAGGCCAGGGTGACACTTGGCCGGAGAGAACGTGGGAAGAGACTACTGTGTATCAGCCTGTGTACAGAGCTTTGTCTGCTGCCATGGGCTGCACTGCACCCCCAAAAGGTATGCCGGAGTCCTGACTGGGCACGTGTGGGCGTGACTTTACTTGGAACCAGGGTCTTTGCAGATGCCATTGGTTATCGGGAGGTCTGCCTGGCTCGAGGAGAGTCAGGCAGGTCCCCCAGGTAAACACATTGATGTGACTAACCCAACGGTTGGCAGTTCAAACCCACCTGGGGAGCCGTGGAAGAAAGGCCTGGCAACAGCCTCTGCACAGATCACACAGCCTGGGAACCAAGCAAAGCCCTGGCACAGTTCTACCCTGTGACACATGGGCTGCTCTGGGTTGAGATGGACCATGAGGGGTGTCTGGTTCGGTGTCCTCACACCAAGAAGAGAGACACGGGGGAAAGTGGCAGGATGGAGGCACAAGACAAGGAGCACGAACATCGCTGGGAGACCAGAGGCTGGAAGAGGCAGGAGAGAGGGAACATGGCCCTGTCCACACCGTGATTCCAGACTGCTGGCCTCACTGGCAGTGCCACGGTTACAGCACTTGCCTGCTAGCTAAAAGGTCATCGGTTCCAAGCCACCAGCCACTCCCTGGGAGAAGATGTGCCAGCCTGCTTCTGTAAAGATCTGCAGCTTCGGGCAGCTTCCGGGGCAGCTCTGCTCTGTCCCGCAGGGTCACGGGAAGGTGGGGTCAGAAATCTCATCGCTGTCAACTCCCTGCCATCAGGTTGGAAATGCCTCATAGCTGAGACTCTGGTGGGTTTCAGGGAGTATAAATCACAGGGGAGAAGACTGCCCATCTTTCTCTCATAAAGTGGTGGGTTTGAACAGCCCGAGAGCACAGCTCCTCACTGCCTACACCACCCAGTGGGCAGGGGAGGCACAGGCGTGGGGGGCACACAGCTGACTCACACCAGCTCCATCCCAATGCCCGTCTCTACCCTGCTGATCTCTAAGGGGGAGAAGCACAGGCAACCTGCTGCATCTCACGAAGCCGGAAGTGTTTCCATGGCAACAGCCCCTGCGCTTCCCTCACCCTTCACCGGCTCTGCGTGCCTGGGCCTCTGGCCAAATCCCCTTCTCGTCTGGCCCTCCTGTCCTCACTGCCCTCTCACAGGCTGTGTCCCCCCCCCAAGAGCCTTTGCACTGGACTGTCTGCTGGACCCCAGCTCGCCACTGTCGCACCTCCCAGGTCTCCAGGCCACCTCTGACGACCCCTTGTCTCTCCCCTTTGGAAGCCACCCACCCAGTCACAGGTCTTTCCATCATCGCGTTCTCTCCTTGTTATCATTGGCACAGTGATTAAAGCACTTGGTTGCTAACTGCAAAGTCTGCTGTCCTAACCCACCAGCCACTCCCTGGGAGGCAGACCCAACAGTCAGCCTCTGTGGAGATGTGTTGTTGTTAGGTGTATCAAGTCAACCTTTCCCCTCTCCTTCTCTGTGATTCCCATTCCCATTAATCCTTCTACCCCTTCGCACAACAGAGGACTGTCAGCTCCTGCACTGACTCACAATCTCTGTTGTGCTTGAGGTCTTGTGAAGCCCCATGCCAATCCCATCTCCTGGAGGGTCTTCTTTTTCACTTTACCAAGCATGATCTTCTCCCGGGGGTTGACTTCTGATAACAGGTCCAAAGTCCATGAGACAAAGTCCCCTTGGCCTTGTCTCTACAGAACATTCTGGCTGCATGTCTTCCAAGACAGATTGATGTGTTCTTTTGAGAGTCCATGGCATATTTCATATTCTTCACCAACACCTCACTTCAAAGGCATCAATTCTTTGGTAAAGATTTACAGTCTTAGAATTCCTGCAAGGCAGTTCTACTTTCCCATCGGTCACTAGGAATAAGAATTGACTTGACAGCAATGAGTTTTGTGCAGGGTTTTGGTTTGAGTATTGTTTATAACCTATGTTCATGTCCTCGGTCTTATGTCAGGGTTGCAGGAGCTGAGTGTTGTTTATCACCCTGTCCCCAGCCTCTAGTGGACAGTTATGGGATGAATGAGTGGGTGGGTGAGTGGGTGGGTGAGTGGGTGGGTGGAAGGAAGGAAGGAAGG